AAGATTATTTTATTGTATCCTTTCGTGATTCGCGTGACTTCCAACATCCCATGTTTTTTTCATGAGCCTCAAAATAAACTCAAAACACTTAATCAAACATTCCGTTAGGCCACTTATACAGACTCAAAAAGTATAAAATGCACACATCGTTAGTACTCTTAAAACACCGCATTTTTTATTGACCCTGTTTTCGCTTAGTGAAATTAATGCACTCAAAGTTCTTCGGTCTTGTGCTTCATAAATCGGAATGTAAACCGTAGTAAGAACAATCGTTCTATCAGTCTTTGAAATCTTCCTTTTTAAAGGGATTCGAAAGTAGCCCATGTTTCCTAGTAAATTTTATGCTTTCCACTTTGTTGAAGAGATGTGGACGGCTGTCCCTTTCATTATATATTTGCCTAGGCTGAATAAAAACGCATTTAATCAGAGAAGAGCCAAGTTCTTGTCTTGTCTACTTAAAAATATAGAAGGTTAGGACACTAGCTATTAGTGACTGCAGTGACCAAGGATTACCACCTAGTTTCCTTTCATAATGTTCGGGTGAAATTACATACCAAGAACCCCGTCAAAGAAATAAGAGTGGTGCTATTCTCGTGATCTGTTGTAGCTATTCCAGAAGGTCAGCAAGTTGATGCACTTGTCAAGTACTTATGAAAAACTACAGGATCTCAGTCAAAGTCCTTATTTCTATGACCTTGAGGATATTAATAATAATAATATATTCTGAAAATAATTACAGAATTCACGCCAGTTTACAGGCATGGTCAGTTGGATATAAAAAACAAAATTTAATGTAGATAACAAAAATGAAATATAAGATTGTTTTACGTTTGCTGGTTCAGTAATTGATAAGTAGTTTATATATGGCATATATCACGGCAAGCCAATGCAACACCAGGGAACTTCTAAATTTCTTCTTAAGTGGATAGCCTGATGATTTATGAACGTATTTCTTTGAGGTTATTTCCAGTGCCAGAGCGAGTAACTCATCAGGCTTCAACCTAATATACAGTAATATTTATATGCATATACGAAATTATTAAACCAATCAAGGCAGTTTATCAGTCATTGATAACAGTGGAATAGATGACATAACTAAAAATAATAAAAAGTGAAAAGTACAGATTGATAGTGTAATGACAGGTGTACTAGTTGTGATAAGAATTATAAAAGGTTTGAATCAATGTTACATAATGGGAAATAGGTCAATGATTAGAAAAATACAGACACTGAAATAACATTCATAGAAATTATAAGATTACGTAATAAGAAGTGTTTAGATAATTGGACCCGAATATTAGAAAAATTATAAATAAATAATTGATAGGGGGTGAAGAAAAATAAACGAAGAAAGAGTATGTAAAATAAAATTATTTATTAAGGCCAAGGGAGGGATAAGGGTGTTACAAATTTCTTGTGAACACAAAGACTTGGGTTGTTGGATCGAATTCCTATAGCTTCTGCTATGTGTAAAAGACGAGATTGAACCCCATAAGGAAAAGTAGTAGGAATACGATAAATAACTTTAAAAGACTGGTTTCTGTCAACTTCAATCAAGTGTGAAAGAATCGAGCACCGTATCGACTTGACCATACCTTTTCCTAACCACGAAGGCTTCCAATTATATGAACACTTATTACGTAATCTTATAACTTCTATGAATGTTATTTCAGTGTCTATGTTTTTCTAATCATTGACCTATTTTCCTATTACGTAACATTGATTCAAGCCTTTTATTATTCTTATCACAACTAGTACACCTGTCATTACACTATCAATTTGTACTTTTCACTTTTTATTATTTTTAGTTATGTCATCTATTCCACTGTTATCATTGACTGATAAACTGCCTTGATTGGTTTAATAATTTCGTATATGCACATAAATATTACTGTATATTAGGTTGAAGCCTGATGAGGATCTAATCGAAAACAATATTGTTCGCTTATATATGTTGTTCTAAATCACAATATGGGAATTTTTCAAAACAATGATTGCCAAAATATGCCGGTCAGGTTACTGCTGTTTATGTTAGATATTATTCAAATGTGTTACAGTTGCTAGTGAGTGTTAATGTAAAGTCTGTAAAAAGACAGCAAGTAAGTGGATAAACATTTAAAGTTCCTATAATCTCACTTGTAGAGTAAGACACACTTACAGGCGTTAGAGAATTTAATGCATTTTCAGAGGAGCAATATGCATTAATGGAGCGAACAAATAATGGGAGAGAGATTAACGTACGGATAGTTTGTGGTAGATTATTCCAGAGCCTAGAAAACCTACAGGTAAAGTAATTCATATACAGAGAAGATCTGAAATATGTTTGTTTCACTAAAGATAAGGAGTTACGAATGTCGTAATGTGAAGCTTCAGCATATTTAATCACCTGGTCGGATGTGAAGGATAGTTTGTTAAGTATTTTGAAAAAGAAGATAAGGTTAAGCTTGAGCCTCCTCTTCCATAAAGGATCAAGCCCGAGTTTATTACATCCAGAGTTATATGTCAAGGCACAATCAGTTCCAAGAGTACGAAGTGTAAATCGTCTCTGTACTGATTCCAGTCTTAATTTATCCTTCAGGCGCGTGCTACTAAGAATAAACGCGTAGTACTCAAGGAGTGGTCGAACACAAACTTTGTACATTAAAATCCGTGAATCGTTGTTATGAAGGTTTCGAGTTATGTAACCTATAAAGCGTTGAGACTTGGACGTTTGTTTCATTATCTGTTCAGTAAACGACAAGTCGTAGGAGTACCTAAGTCCTAGGTCTACTACTGTGTTTAGCCTAGATAACACTTCACCATTTATGGTAAGATCGAGGTTGAGTGATGTATCACCAAAGCGTAACCATTCACATCTAGCTGCATTAAGCTGCAGTTGCCATTTCGAGCACCACTGTGCTACCTTGTTAAGCTCCGTGTTGATGCAATTTTGAATAATGCTCAGCTGATGTGGAGAAAATGAATACACCACCTTAAGATCGTCTGCATACAAAAGGGACTTACCCACACTAAAACACTCACAAATATCAATAATGAAAACTAAAAAGAGCAAAGGGCTTAAGAAACTACCTCGAATTACCCCACTTCTAACAGGGACGGCATTCGACAATGAATTGATGTCCACTGATCAAGAAGGAATCAAACCAGGCTAGTAACGGCTTTGGGACAACATAAGATGCGAGTTTACCTATGAGAAGTTGGTGGTTGACCATGTCGAAGGCCTTAGAAATGTCCAGGTATAGCACTAATACTAGATATCCTTGGCTACGAAGCGAATAGACTAAATTGAAGAATACAAAATGACATGTCATACAAGATCGATTTTTAAGAAATCGATGTTGCGAATCATCGATAAATTGTTCAGTCAATAAACAGTTGGATAGTTCATCACTAATAATTTTTTCCATAGTCCTAGAGTTAACTGGAATAATATTTATTGGCCAATAGTTGTTCATGTCAGTGTTATCACCGGATTTGTAACGTGGTATGATGTACGCGGTTTTCCAATGGTCAGGATAAGAGCCTGATTCCATAGAGAGAGTAAACAGCTTAAGGAGTAGAATTGGAATATCTGGACCACCATATTTGTAGAAAAATGATGAAATCTCGTCTGCTCTGTGACCTCTCGAAACCTTAAGTTTATGTAAGACCTTGCTAATTTTCAGACATGCGAAGGAGATAGATTTAATTGAGTTACCATTCAAGCATATAACTCTAGAAACAGAGACATTTATGGATTGTTTGCCATTTGCAAAATTACCACTGAAAAGGTCTGCTATAGTTTTTGGTTAATATATAAAACTATTATTATGCAGGATGCATGTTATATCAACATTTTGAGTTGATTTAGCGCGTTTATTGAAAAGGAGTATTAGGTTTTGCACTTTTGAGCTAGTACTTAGTGCTAATAGCTCTTCATTGATGGATTTTGATGTATGTTTCTCTTTAATTTCGTTAAAAATTATTGTTATTTGTGTGAATGCCGTGAAGTCGTCATATTCAAAATAAAGTTTCTTTAGGCGTCTTAGTTTATTACGATATTTAGCTGGTATATATAATTCGTAATGTTTACTAATCCTGTCAGTCTTCATTGGTGCACAAAAGTCTAGACATGAGTTAACAATCGAATTGAATATGTTGATGGCATCTGTCAGACTATTACATGAGAAGAATTCATCCCAGTCTGAGAGTTTGATCAGTGAGTGCAAGAGGTCTCAGTCTGCATGCTTATAGTCTCTATAATTGCAGTTTCTTTGAATTGGTCGGTTGTAGGAGGGATAGATGGGGAGAGGACAAGCTACTGTCCTATGATCACTGCTTTCAAACTCGTTGTTAACTTTAACAGATAGAGAAATGATATCTCTACTAAATATTAGATCAAGTGTATTATCACCCCTTGTTTGGGGTACGAACCCACTGTGACCAGCAGTACAGATTAAGGATTGATAAAAATTCATCATTGCTTGACTGACAACTACCAGTACTCCAGTTAATCCCAGTATAATTAAAATTGCCAGTGATAATCATAGCACTGAAGTTTAGAGTAGATGGATGTGTAAATGCATTGATAATAAGATCATTCAAATTATCCGAAGTATCAGGAGCTCTATATATACAACCTAGGAGTAGACTATGATTCAGGGTATTGATTGATATCCAGATCGATTCTGGTAAACTATTCAAGATACTATCTTTAACTTTGTTAGTTATTAAGGTATCCAAAGCAAATATAAGACAACCGCCTCCTCACTTAGTTTCTTTGTCACAACGATAGAGTCGATATTTCTGGATAGTAAATTCGGAGTCGGCTATTGCTGGATAGCACCCTGTTTCAGTGATAAGTATAAAAGAAGGCTTGGCTATAAAGGCTAAGGTTCTCAAGGCTGAAATTTTGTTCGGAATTGAACATGCGTTAATAAGTAGTAAGTTTAAAAAGGGAGTGTGACCAGTGGTTTGCTCGTAAGTTTCCACCATTTTACTCCTTCGAGTACAATTGAACGATGCTTATTCTCCAATCAGAAGTTAGTTCTACCTAGTCCATCGAACATATGAAGATGGTTGCAAGATGGTTATAAATTGGGTTAAAGATACTTTGGGTACAACAGGGTCCCACTAAAAAGCAGACTATAGAAAAGGAAGAAGCAACTGACAGTTTTTGAGGAAGCATTCGACAAATCGTGAGATTAAGTAAAAAAAAGGTTGATATGTCACGAATATTCATTGGCCAATACTGCTGTTGTTTGTAACACTTTTATAACCAGAAGACCCCAGGGCCGGTCAGGCCAGAGGTCAGGAATTTAAACGTTAGAAGATATACTTGGAAGACCGCTGGTATGTCGAGAAGTGCGTGATCTAAGCTAACTAAATAATGTGAGATGCGTAACACGGCTTACCGGAAAATCCGATTGCTGCGGATGCTTTCCTGTGCACCCTTAGTAACAGTGAAACTACTGAGGTCAGTATCAATGTCGAAGACCTATGGAAATGCTCATTTTGTTGGTTTATGTACGGCCACATTTCACTGCCTCCCTAGTAGGGTAGGGGTGACCCTATCATGTGAACAGTCAGAATTTCCAACCCAATTATCTTACCGTTGGTAAACACTATTCCTCTGGCCTGATTCATCCAGAAGCGTCTGATCGTTTTTTCCTACCCCTACGAGACATGGAGTCCACAAAGTCAGTAATTGTAATAAATGTACAATATAAGATTCGGTTGTTATTACTAATGTTACTATTCACAAACAGCTTATGAATACATGGGTATTGTGAAGAAACCATTTCGGGTTTCCTCGGAAATGCAGTAATACACAAGTTTCAATAATGTTAGCATAATATTTACCATATTTGGAAAAAAGCACAGGTTTTGTTTAATTGAGAAGAAAATTGAGTTCAGATTGAGTTGCACATTTTCTAGCTGTCTTGGAAAAGAAAGAAATGGAAATGTACGAGCATGTCAAAATACACTTAATCCTAATTAGACAAGGAAGCCGTGCAAAAGACCGGTATAGTCCCGTACATTGAACATAGAACAACGTAAAAACTACACAAAAGGTTTTATTATGAGTTTTGTGTAAAAAAGGGCTAAAATATGCTAACCAGATAAAAGCAATTCGAATCATTTAGACTCTACCCTAGGAGTTCACGGAGCTTCATTAATAAGCATGACCCCTCGTCTGGGAAGCTAAAACTATTCGGAAGTCGCGAGGCCGATGCCCATCCTAACAACCACAGAAACAGTTTAAAAAGGTGCTTGAAATATCTGGACAATGTTAAAAACTCAGAAGGACCTGCCAAATAGCTTCGAAAATGAGGGGATATAACGGTTATCAGAATCAGTGAAACTCATCGGACGTAAGCTGGTTAGAAAGTGATACGCTGGAAGGAGATGCCGCTGTACTCAGTTCACGAGGAAATCCTCAACACACTCAGATAGTTGCTCTGATGCAGTCCGAACAAACAAGTAATTCATTGATAGGATGGGAATCTCAGGGATCCAGGAGCATCACGGGAAGTGAAGATATCATTGAACAACATGGACTACGAAAAAGGAATGATAATGGTGGGAGATTCATCAATTTGTGTTTATTCAACGAAATGTTTATAGGCGGTACAATATACGCATACAAAGGCATACACAGTTATTTCGATATTTTATAAGGTACACTGTTCACAAACTTATGATGATAGAACTTATCACCTCTGAATGTAAATAATATTGATAAGATTCGTAATTTCAATATGGCAGTTGTCATTTCGACGTGCGATTGATAGTCAAGAGTAAGTCCATGTGAATTTTAGAGTTTCTATAAACCGTTACCTTATATCCCTCAGGCCCCCAAATGCCCTGGTACGGCCGAGAGTGGGGAGAGTCTACTCTCCCTCTCGAAATGCTCTCACGTGGCCAGCGAATATATAGCCTCTGCCAGGGAAGTCCTACTCACTGACTTCTCACACCACGGGTGTTGTTTACGAAAGTGAGAGGACGAAAAGCGAATGTCCGGTGCTTTAACCGGGTTGGTGGACACGGAGGGTCCACCTAGGGGAGTTGGAAAACCCTGATTCCAAACCAATGGTGCACATGGGCTCCAGTATCCTGATGGAACGAATGGCGGAAGAACCTGTCATTGGTCAACGGCTACCATGGGACTGCATCTCCTCACGATGCTCCACTGCCTTGTGGATCAGACCTTTAGGTCAAAGGCTCGGAGTGTGGTCCCCTAAGAAAACCACCTGCTTCGGTTTGGGCACCCGGGCAGTATCACAGCCCACACACAAATGAATGAAATGATGAACTCTATTGATGATAATATCCCTGCTCATACTAAAAGCAAGACAATTAACATTATTATTATTACCTTTATTATTATTATTATTTACCATATCGCTAATTCACCCCCTTTTATCCTCAATTTGTGTAACCTTACTTTTCAAATTATGCAGCAGCTCGCCCATGGTGGAAAATCTGTCCTATCTAAACGATCTCCAGTCACTGTCTGGTTGAAAGTGAATGCTTTCACCAATTATGAATACTGAACCAGTCTTTCTGAAACCACGTACGCCGTTCAAGCTGGCTTCCTTCAACGTTCGCACACTAATGCAGATCAGACAATAGATAGGGCTGGCTATGTCTTTGGAAGGTCTTAATGTTGATGTTTGTTGTCTATCCGAGACCCGTATTCAAGACTCTAGTGAAGTAATACAAATCTGCTCTCCATCTGTCGCCTCGAAAAGCATGTTCCACGTGCGCTTATCCGGGGACCCTGTGGCATCTTCGTCTGGTCTTGCTGGCGTTGGTGTCGCACTAAGCGCTAGAGCTGAGGCAGCACCAATCGATTGGATCCCCATTAACAGTCGGTTATGTGCTGTTAGATTAGAAAGCTCTATCAAAGTGAGAAGAAATCGGCGTGAGAAACGGTGTCTTTTCGTCATCTCCGCCTATGCCCCGACAGATTGCAGCCCGGATGCAATCAAGGATGAGTTTTACCACCAGTTAACAGTTCTTCTCCAGATATTGTAGTACTAGCCGGAGACTTGAATGCACAGGTCGGGCGTCTAGGCACAGAAGAGAGTCGTCTAGGTGGCCGATGGGGACTTGCTGGTCGCCGGACAGATAACGGGGACCGTTTGCTGCAACTGTGCACAGACCACAACCTGTTTCTGGCCAGCACTATCTTCCGGCACAGTCATCGCCGGTGTGACACCTGGCGTCCTCCCTCTGCATCCCAAGCCTGGACTCAGATTGATCACATCGCGATCAGCTACCGCTGGCGTGATTGTGTACAAGACTGCCGCTCCTTTTGGAGTACCTATCTGGAGTCTGATCATGCACTGGTCTGCGCCAATCTCACCTTACTTTTCAGTGGCCAACGAATTGATGTCAGCAAATTGGTTGCAGCTCCTGTTGCGACTAAATATCAAGGTCCTTCTGACTAAGGAATTGACTGTGTTGTTTGGAAAGGTTTGGGAGCAAGAAAGTGTTCCAACATCATGGAATGAGTCGATAGTCGTCCCTATCTTTAAAAAGGATTCATGTTGTTCCTGCAATAAATATCGGGGGATAAGTCTACTTTCGATTGCGTCCGAACTATTGGCTTCTATCATTCTTCGTAGGTTGTTTAAAACCCGAGAACGATTGACTCGCGAGGAGCAGGCTGGTTTTCGTTCTGGTCGAGGATGCATTGATCACATCTTCACCCTCTGCCAAATGTTAAAACACCGTCATACTTATCACAGGCCAACAATCGTAGTGTTTCTTGATATCAGGGCGGCCTTCGATTCGTTGGACAGGACTGTTCTCTGGGATTGTCTATTGAAGAAGGGTGTGCCTGAGAAGTTCATTAACATCTTAAAGGCCCTGTATACGAACACCTCAGGCAGAGTGAGGGCATACAACCACCTTTCTCCCTTGTTTCATTCGAGTAGTGGGGTTAGACAGGGTTGCCCAATCTCACCATTCCTCTTCAACTTTGCCATCGACGACATCCTGGAAACAGCTCTGATGGATGTAAGTAATGGCGGTGTGGATATGTTGCCTGGAGAACGACTTCTGGACCTCAAGTATGCGGATGATATTGTCTTACTGTGCGATAATGCCCAAGGCATGCAATCCGCACTTAATCAGTTGGCAATGAGTGTCCGCAGGTACGGTATGTGCTTTGCACCCTCCATGTGCAAAGTATTCCTACAAGACTGCTGGCAGGATTCTCATCCTGTACTCACCCTGGATGGTGAGGAGATCGAAGTAGTTGAGAAGTTCGTGTATCTAGGTAGCTATATAAGTGCTGATGGTGGCGTGAGTGATGAGATTGATGCACGTATTATGAAAGCCAGAGCGGCTTATGCCAATCTGGGCCATCTTTGGCGCCTTCGTGATGTTAGTCTGTCTGTGAAAGGTCGGATCTACAACGCGTCGGTGAGAGCAGTTTTGCTCTATGCTTGTGAAACCTGGCCTCTCCGAGTTGAGGATGTTAGACGTCTCTCTGTGTTCGATCATCGTTGTCTCCGAAGGATTGCTGACATCCAGTGGCAACACCATGTTAGTAATGCAGAGGTTCGGCATCGTGTGTTCGGGCGCAGAGACGGTAATTCAATTGGTGCCACCATCTTGAAACACCGACTTCGGTGGCTTGGACATGTTTTACGAATGTCGTCCCAGAGACTTCAACGTCGTGCATTATTTGCCGACCCTGGGACTGGTTGGAGAAAGCGGAGAGGAGGTCAGTGTATGACATGGTGTCGTGGCATGAAAGAGCTGCAAAGGGCTAGCTTCTGTTGGTCCTTCACGACTCCCTGGTTGGGTTCCGAGAGATAGTGCAACACGGTGGCTAGAGACGCTATCAGATATGGCTCAGAATAGAAGCCAGTGGCGATCCTGCTGCAACCTTCTTTTACTTTCTACATAAAGAATGGTTTTAACTTTCCTAACTGAAAGAGTCTTCTGGTTGTACTTTTTAGTCCGCCTTATCTTTTCATCCCTTCTCTTCCTACTTTCATTATTTTGTGTGGCGCATATGTACCTG